TTAGTTTGAAGAAACAAATCACTCTGAACAGAAAGGAGTTGGAAATACGAAGCGATTTTTTTGTGACCGCTTAAATATTCACTTAAAGCTACTTAATAATCATTTTATTCTTGGCAGTTGCTTGGTCTCTGCAAAACTGAAGTTGGATGTGATGAACAATCGCCCATGAATGGCAGAAATCCCTCCAACTTGTGTCGTCTAAGCTGCTTTATGTTCCCTGAGAATGTTGTTTTCCTACAGATTTACTTAATAAATAACATTGTTTTTGCTCACTGATGATTTACAATAACGTTATTCTGGGCAAACAACCTTTAAAAATATCCTGTGTGACAGCATGATCGATTCACAAAGTGCGAACCGAAGACATCTTGTTAATTCTGCATTAGGCTGACACCATAATTCTTCATGTAAGCTCGACCACTAATCTTTTCCAAGCCACTACCAAGGAAAACTGTATACAGCTCTTTTTTTTTGTTAGGTGCTTTGTGTGAGAACAAAACCGAATACGTACCAAGTTTCTTTTCTGACCGATGAGGGACCCGAGCATGTCTGATGGCTGAGTACAATCTTCAGTCCTGTGGGAGCTGATTTCTGTGCCTTCTGCTCTGGAAAGAAGCACAAATAGACACTGGTATTTTGCACACACAAAAAAAAAAATGATAGGAGCATGATAGGAGTCGTGTTACTGTGCAGCAGAGTGAGAAAAAATCCTGATAAGACAGTGTTGAAATATTTGATAGAGCTGAATTTCATCAGAGTTGTTTTATAGTAACATTCAGGCCCATCCTTACATGAAAGAAAGAGGTGGAGACGAATATTAAACTGTTAAATGAAATATCAGCCATGATAATTAGTTTCACTTCTACCCTTACATACTTATTTTTAAACCTGGGGTGATGAAGGTGCTGTGATGTCGCATGGATGATAATGTCATGGGATGTCACATGTGGAACTGTTGTGATACCTGATGAAAGTCTTAATTAATATCTATTACAACAGTAAACAGACAGAGTGTGGGAGTTGTTGTTTCCTCCACCACATGCCTCAGGTGTGCAGAGATTCCTCCTACTATAATATCATTGTGCAAATGGACAATCACAACTTATTGCAGTCTCACTGGTGAAACCTCCTTTATAATGATTTCGCACCAACATAAACAACTATCGCTGCTGCGTCTCCAGCTCGGGTGGCTTTGCTCATAAATCTTGTTATGCATTATCAGCACAAGTGTGCAATTAAGGTGCTATCCCTTGCACGCAATTTTCAAAAAGAAGCGCACCTTTTGGAAAAATGTTAGCGGAGGAGGATGAATTATGAATAAGACAGCAGGTTCCTGGCGATGGGGATTAAGTGTTTGCACCGCGACAGAACAGCAAATGGTGTGAAAAAGGCACGCACGGTGATGCAATAAGATTATTACTGAGCAGCAGAGGTCCAAATTGGTTCGAATGAAACGAAAGGCACGCAGGATTGAAGAAGATAAGCTAGGCAATAAACAGGTAACATACTTTAATTAATAGCTTTGTTTACCTAATGGTCAGAGTTCTTTAGTTTCTGCAAAACTTCTCCCCTCACACTTCTGCACATGTATAATTAATCTTAAAACTTGTGCACCAACCTCATATAGTCACTACTCTGCAGTTCTTTTTTTTTTTTTATAATCTGATGATTAATTATTTCTAATTGCGCTGCAGTTTTAGTCAGACTTTGCTTCCTATTACCTCTTTTGTTTCCATTGTTTTAATTACATGCCCATGCTTTACTGTGTCTTTAATGAGCTGTCAGAGTCGTAAAAACAGTCGCACTTGCGGTTGACTTAAATTAGACTTAATGGTGGATTTATGAGAATGTGCAGCGAGACGGAAATTATATTCAAATCCTTTAAGAAAAGTGTGACGCGGTGAAAACATTAAAAAAAAAGTCTTAATCATGATGTATTGTAGCTTCTAATAGTTGGTAAACTATGATTCAGCATTAAAACGAGCAATTAACCATCAACATGGGGGAGTTTTTCAGAGTGTTTTAAACTGTCAGCTATGACTCAAAGCAAGCATTTGAAGTCTTTGTTAGCTGGTAAAATGAATTCAGTGATGAGCTAAACCTGCTGATCTTCTGATTATTATGTCTCATTTACATGATAAAAGCAAACTGCTGACCACTGGTGACTTCAACAAACCTGACTTGTGCTGGGACTGACACAGCTGTGACGACGTCCATTCACTCACCTGATAGATTCCTCTCTGCTTTGACCAAACCACACTACAGTGTGTTTCTTTATCTACAGGAAAGAACAAAACCACGTTATAAAGAAAGTTTCTATTCTGTGTATATTCACAATAACATGAATAGACTCACAGGCTGCATGCAATGAATATATATTATGTATGTATCTATGCACAGGACAGGACACAACAGTCATTACATTCCATCACTGTGAAAAAAGTAAACCTATTCGAGGTGTTATAAAAATGACATTTTATGATAAATTTATTTATATCACTGATGTGATGTTTAGTTTTGCCGAACATTATTTTAGCGTCTTTTATTCATTAAAATTTATTCTTCCTTTTATCACAGTTTAGCTGAATGTGGATCTAGTTAGAGATGGGAAAGGGATTTTTTTTAAACATTTATTTGGGGTTAAAACGGGCAGGTTTACTTTTTTTTAAGTGGAAGTTAGCATTTGATGATTAAATTAGGATTATTATTAGGGTTACCTGCTTAGTGTTTAGTCTTCCTTTCAGTCCCGTGATCTACACTCTTAATGAGAGTCAGGCTTCAGGTGTACTAATCACAGAAGAGAATTCAAACGGCTAGAAACGGACTTTGACGTTTAAAGCACGGAAAATTACAGTGCATGTACAGCTCGCTCAGGTTAAGATGACACAAATGCAGAAAGAGGTTAGCAGAGACATCGATGAGATAACAAGCGGGTGTGCTGGGTTTTTTTTTTTCCACTCAGCAAGTAACATGCTATCTGTCAGAGGGTGAAAACCAGATCATGTGTGGCCCATTACGCTCTTCAGCTTCAAATCCTCAGCTTTTTAAAAAGGCATTATTATGATAATATATGAGGACTTCTTACCTCTTTAAACTCCATATCATTCTCAGAGTCAATCAGTGTCTGTTTAATGATGTAAAACTTCAGGGAATGGATTAAGAAAAGAAATTTATTAGTTTCTAAATAAGAAGAAAGTGTTCAAATATTCAAGGACGACTGAGCAGGAGTATAAATTATTTAACCAATGATTCATTTGGGACAGGCTGCTGGGCTTTCTTTATGAAATGAGTTAGCTGTTACCTGAAAGCAGATGTTTGGATTTAGAAACAAGAAACTCAATGGCGTTAACAAACTGCAGAAAAATAACCAATTTAAAGCTCCACGGCCTGCTGTTTAGAAAGTCTTACACACTTGCGTTGAGGTTTATGTTGTTTTTATTAAATGCTTTATGTACAAATACAGATTACACACAGAACAAAGCACGCATTATAAATTACACACTGTACAGAGCTTTCAACCCAAACAAAAGAAAGGAGAAAAAAAAGTGTTTTGCACGATCACGATCTCACATCATTTCGTATCATTTAAAATCACAATGTAATCTAGGCTAGTTATTTTTTTTGTGTAGTATTAACTCATTTTATATAGCAATCAGTTATGGGGGAAACTTGTGATTTCTTCACATTAGACATTTTTAAAAGAAATGTTTAGGAACCATCTGGTGTTCAATTTAAAGGTTTGGTTTCCATTTGTTCCTGGAATTTATCATGTTTTTTCAGGGCAGGTAATTCAAACTTTTACAAATCAAGCCACAGTTGTTATGAAACAGGAAGCTCGTACTAGTCTTTAAAAGACAAATTAACCACAAAACTGCCTCTGATTTATTACTATGGAGCCAAATAATGAATACATTTATGGGGGGAAAAATGCCTTGAAGAAGTCAGTCTGAATCTCACAAAGGTTTTTTCTTTTTTTTCTTTTTTTGTTGCAAAGTATTAGTATTAGATCTACTTAAATCAGACGGAGCCTCCAGCCACACCAAACTGTGGGGGAAGATTGGAAAAAAAGATATTTTAAATTGGAAGCGAGCATCACATTTGCTCCGCAGCTCTGGCTGGTTAAAGACTCATCCTGCCTGGAAAGTCATTTTGGTTGACTCACACGTAGCTAAGCAGGGTTTATGGGCCGTTTTTCCAAATTAGGAAAAAAAACTGCTGTCAGTAGATTTTAAATAACTACTTGAAAAAACTTGCAAAAAGGGGCAAAGTTATAGAGAAACTACTTTAGCACCTAAACAGGGGTATACTTTTGTGTATTTGTGGAAATGCGGGAAAAAAATCGGACTTTTGCCAGCTTTACGTGTCCAGCGGTTGGTGTGTTTTAGGGGACGACAGGTGATATAGCATCATGGGTGTTTTACGATATCCTGATAAAAAGGCTAACATGTTTTTTTTTTTTGACAACTTGGAGGAGCAAAGAATACACTGATGCTACCATGTGGGACATTAAAGTGACCTATAACAAGAAAGTTATGACTCTGATCGCCTCATATGACACATCAAGTAAGGGGGAAGAGTTAACCGTGACAATCTCTGCCTTAAAGACAATAAAGGGAAACCAATTAGTCCCGATCATAGACATAACCTACAAATTAAATCAGAAGTTTAACGTCAAATATCTGAAAAAGGGGGAGATAAAGGTGGCATGAAAAGCATTTAAAGAGCCACGTTTAATACCAGCCTTCCTGTATATAAACACGTTAAGTGTCTCTTTTAATTTTCTCTCTGCATGTTTAAAAGAAAAAAAAAGCCTCAATCTTCTATAAATGAAAACATCAGAATGCTGGAAAAATGTTAGGTTTTGCAGGTTTATGTGCTTTGAGGTTGTTATTTTTTTCAATTTCTGAAGGGCAAAGAAAAGTTACAACATTTTATGAGGAATTGTTTTTAAAAAAAATTCTAAACCGTTGGGAATCGGAGGTCACATATGTGGAGCACCTTCAGTATCTGCCGTACGGGTGTTTCCTGTAGCCCCCTCTCGTCAGCCGTAAAACGGGGGCTTTGAGACTTGGCCTGGTGGTCGCCCAGTCCTCCTCTGCAAACACATCAAAACACACAGTGTAGGAAGCATCCTGTCCTCTCGCAATGCCGTTCACCCAAAGACAAGAGAATTTAAGCGAGTAAATTATATGCCAGGTACTACAGGGGCTTCTCTTCACAGAAAATTAATTTCATAAGCTCTTTGCCCTCTGTTGGACCAATGCTGAGATTTGACTGTCAGCAGCTCCTTCCTTAGAGCCAAATTACATAAAGATGGCCACCTCTGCTGCACGGCACATTGCACCGCTTCCAAATAAGAAAGTGTTTATGAAGCAGAAAATCAAATCATTGCCCCCTTGGTTTTGGTTTGGTCCGACCTCAACACCCCAGTGCACAATTCATTGTGCTGAAAATGAATGAGCCTGCAAACCTGCTGTGGCAACCAGCTTATCGCCGCTGTCGTGTCACAACCTAGTAACTCCACTTCTGGTGACTTTATTTTATATTTTTTGCGGAAATTGTAGCTCTACATGTTGAAGCTTTGCATGTATTACTTCATGGTTTAAAGGAAATCTGAGGACTTGTTTATTCAAAAACTTCTAAGGAGTTGGTAGTTTGGAGATACAGGATGGATTTTTTTTTTTCCCCAGAGAGCAACAGCAGAGGTTAGTTAGCCGATAACAGCCTCCTGGAACAAGCATGCGAGGGCAAAAACCCAAAAGGCGAAACACCCTGCTTTTACAGGAGGCAGCGGTTGGGTCCACGAGCTTCCGCTGGCAACATTGACTGTTCTGGTCAAATGCAAGCTCGTAGCCGGGGAAGGTAAAAGGGGTGACGCACGCAAGAGTGGCTCGCTGGGTGATTAGAAGTGGGCTGGAACCACAACGCTTTTTTTTTTTTAACTTTGCTTCTCGGCTGTGAAACACCTTTTTAATAACAGTGGAGCGGCAACCGGGATTGTGCGGTCAACACAACATCGTTTTTCTTGTGCGAAATAATTTAAATAATGTTCAAGCATATTTGTTGAGGAGTGCGGTTTTAAAATCCTGCTCCGTGACCCTGAATGTGAGTAATTACCTTTAATGACAAAGGCAAATGACTGTTTTATTTTTGTTTTGTTTTGTGGAACCAGCACAGGAAAAATAGCTCAGATTGGACAGACTCATAGATATTACAGAACTAGATACTGGACTTTCCTAAAGAAAGTGTAGGACTGCAACAAGCTGTTATCTTACTTTTTCATTTCATCTTTCAGTCATTTAGTTTATATTTATATATGTTTAAAAAAAGATAATTGCGAAAGTCTACGATGAGATCTTCAAATTGCTTGTTTTGTCTGAACAACAGCCCAAAACTCTGATACTCACTTCATGATAATAATCCAGAGAATGTGGCGCATTGTGAGGATTTTTTTCTTTGCTTCAAAAAGGACTTAAGGAATTAATTCCCAGCCGAGTTGCCAAATCATTTTTGCAGATTGCCCAATCAACTAATCAGCTCGTTTATTTCAGCTCGAACAGTGTCGTTATGCCGTACTTCTGTTATATTTAACAATTTTACAGCGAGAGGACGCAAAAAAAATAAAAATCAGGGGGTGACTCATATTTGGTTCACTGTGCAACTTGCAAAAAGTTCTTTGAGAAGCTGCACTTACCATAATTGTTGTAGGATTCATCACTGGTTCCGTGTCCGTATTCATAATATCCTGAAATGCTAAACCGGGCAGAGAGGAAACATCAGTCAAATAACAAGCTTTCCTAAAATAAGGGAAGGTGTTTTGTTTGGCAAAGAAAAATCTCCACTTAATTTTTTCTTATAACCAATGAAATGCTAAAAAGTCCAGCAATGTGTTATTCCATCTTTGAGTGACTCTAACGTATCTGTACTCAGTGTACTGTGTCCTGCTAAAGACACTGATCACACACAAGGCACACGTTTTATTTTTACAGTAGAAAGGCTAATAAACTCCTTTAACACCTGAGCACCGTAGCTTGTAGCTCAGTTTACTCAAAAAGGTATAAAATTTTGGGCCTTTTTTGTGGATTAACACACAGTTGGTGCCCCAGTGAGGAAGATGGTGTATGTAGGATTAACTACAGTTCCCACGTTGCTCACCGATGTGTTTTTTAACAGACAGCACAGGTCCCTGGGACAATTATATCAGGGTGTGGACACGGAGACAGCTCGTGGCGCGATCAATTCATCGCTGTCTGCGAGCTTTTCTTGGGATTTCTTGCCGAAATGTACACCGGTGATGAACAAAAAGACAGCTTGTCACAGTGGACCTTACACAGGCTGGATTCTAAGTAACAGCACACAGATGTATTTTCTTTTGTTTATCCAGCATGTGTGTGCGTGTATGTTACCTCTTTGACTGACTGTTGTAGTTATCCTCATAGGTTTCGTAACTCTCGTCATCGTATTCTCCGTCGTACCCATCATCGTAGCCCTGCGAGAGAACAGTGAGCGTTATGTCTCCTCGTCTCTATCCCGTCTAACTGGTTGGAGATGAATATAAAAAAACAATCAATACTTAGTTCCATGGGCAAAGTTATTACTTTGAGTCTGTAATAGGAGAGGAAACAGGAAAAATTAATGTCCAACAGAGAATATCGATTAGGACCTGCAGGGGAACATGTCTCACTAGTGGAGCCTAATGGACACCTCCTGAGTCTCAAACTGCAAAATGGATCTCAACTATTGATAAGCAGCCACTCAGGAAACAAGCGCAAAAGCCAGCCAGTAGCTACAGTCAGGCTCAATAACAATAAAAATGACTAAACGGCACACGGTAAAGACTTTCTTCAGTTATATGGACACTTTGGCGGCCACCTGTAAGTATTGGTAACCAGATAAAAAATCAAAATAAAAGCCTCCGTTCTGTAAAGCAGGCGAAATAGCAGTTTATTACTCTTTGTGCGTCTCTCGTAAACTCTGAAATTACTGTTGAAAACACTTTAGGAGAGATTAGTCTGTTAGAGGAAGTTTGATGAGGGACCTGACAGCAGCAGGATGGCATTTTATATTTATGTATTTATATATAGTTATGTAATGACAGTAAGCACTCAAAATGTCATGTTTGCCAAAGTCTGCTGCGATAAGTCTATTCCTATTACAAAACTCCACGTTGGTCCCCGGACGGTCCGTTAATCCAGTTAGTGTCTGTTTACATCTGCGAAGGACACTTTTCTCCGCCTACTTATGCAAGTAACCTGGTTTTAGATCAATTTAAGTGAACATTATGATTCATTTAGAAGAAAAAAACACCTCAAGAGTGGCTGGTTAAGAAGCTTTTTTAAAAATTAAATCCTGTAATATTAAATTGGTTGCTGTGGCATGTGAACATCCCACTCCTTTTTTTTTACTTTTAGTGTTTTATCATCTGCATAAATCATCCAGTGTTTGCATAATACCAGGATCATCAGTTTCTTTCCCACGTATCAGACGCTGAAGGTTGCTGCATCTTTTCATCTTTTTATTGCTTGCGGACTCCTGGGTGCAATTTCCACCAGGAAGAGGGAGGACGTTACTTTTCAAAAAGGCTATTTTAGTCCATCTCACTTGTGCAGTTTCCATTGATTTGCTTCTAAAAATCCCTGTAAGCAGAAGGATTTTCTTTTACTGTCCAGCTGCCAAACGCCAGATCAGAGAAAGGGGGGGAGTTGATCAAAATGATCCGCTTATCAGAGTTTGCTTCAATTATGAGTTGAAGTTAGTGCTTAGTGGGCATTTTTTCCTCCTGACTTTTGCCTTTCAGGAAACTTTAAGTCTGCCCTGTCATTGATAAGGAGCTCAACCCTCCTCTGTAAGTTTTTGGGGTAACTAAAACTTTCTGTTAAATTTGGTTTATTGCTGTATTCTAGAGGTGAACATCAATCAAACACAAGGCAATGTTTCCTTAAAGATGGAACAGGGCTTCATTTACAAAAGACAAACTTGGTTGCAGAATATGCAGAAACGCTTTGGAGGCTGTAGAAACTGGGCACACAGATGGGGAAATAGTGACATTCTGCTGTAATTCCTCTCCCAGGTTTCATTTCACTTTATATCAGATGAATAATCATACCTCCACTTGTGCTGGTAAGACACAAAACACTCGATAAGCACCTATCCATTATAAAAGACACAGGCCGACTCGGATCTTTACCATTTACATCTGTGATTCATTATTAAACTATTATGGGACTATTGAGCGTCTGCTGCTGGCTCATCACTGCATTCCCAAACCCTCAGAGCGCGGAGGAGAAGGTCGAGGTGCGCGATGCTCACACTCTGGTTGTGGAATTTACGAATTAGCGAATGAAAAACGCCGAGAACAATGCCAGCACGCGTCAGATGGCGGATTCTGCAAAGTCTGGCGAAGATAATAACCCTGAACACCCTGATTACTTTTCATCTTAACTGATGAAATAATCATTAAACTGCATTTCACTTCTGTATAGAAACGGAGAGCAGAGTGTACGTTTCGACCAAAGTCTTCCGATGCGGTTCTCCATCTAGCAGAGAGTTTCTTGTTTAGCAGAAAAAAATAATCACTTCAGTGAACACGGACTGTGCTGCCAGGGGCATCAGGTGCTCGCAGAGTGACATGGGGCCGCCACGCACGCTCACCCTCCTCCAGAAATCTCACCCTTCACCCCTCCACCACCTGCACTCATCAGTAACTGCGAAAATGAAAGAAGCACCTATATCCTTTTTTTTTTCTGTCAGCTGTGTATATGTCTATATAGAAGGTTAAAAAATACAGAGCAGTTAGTGTCCCTGTCCTGTAACTGGCAGCAAAGCACACCTAGTTTCCTTTTTTTTTTTTTTGCATCAACAGCTGCTGAATTTTGCTTAGTTTCCAACATGGGTGGTGAAATATAGGCAGCATTGACAATAACTGTGATATTTGATACTGTATTCATAACCCACATATGATAATATCGTCACTAATCCTGCTTCAGTAGCCACCCTGCTGACACTCCAACATCCAGAGCATTTATGGCTACAGTTTCTCTCTCCAACTACCCTACAGATGGATTTGACAGATAGCATCACTGATTTTTTTATTTTTTTATATTACACTGCTCTACACCCATTTTGGTGTCAACATTTTTTGAGCTGATTTTGGACAACTGCAATGTGCTGAATCCAAATATTACATTGGTTTTGCTCAATGAGGTCAAAATGTTGATTTGTCACCACATGCACTTTATTTTATTTTATTTTTTAAAATTTTTGTGTACATGTGCGGGTGTCTATGCTTTGTATCATACAAAATTCTTTTTCTATTTCCTGAAATGAACAAATTCTGAAACCTTTGCAAGTTGATACTACCTGTTCTCGCATATTGAATGGCTTCCTGAGAATCTCGGACCAATGAGTGATGAGCAGGGGGAGAGATTCCATCAGGACATGAAAGAGATGGAGACCAGGTATCAGGGATGCTGGGATGCAGTCATGATGGCTGATTACTGCTGGACTCTGAAGAGAGATATACCTGCTGCTGGTCATTCCAGGAGTTCCAAGAAGTGCATGTTCAAACCCTGAATTTTGAGCAATGCTGATGAAACATGCAATTTACTTTTATGAATGTTTACGCTTATGAACTTTTGGATCAGTTAGCTTATGAAAAGGATTAGAAAATGGAAATTTTCCTCGAAAATCCAATTTCATATGAGAAATACTAAAATAAATCAATCGCTAATGTCAAAAAATGTAATCGATTTAGTGGCAAAATCAATTTTTAAATTTTTTTTTAACCGAGCTGGCATAAAACCCTGACCTGATGCAGAAAAGCAGATGTCATGTTTGGATTCAGCGTTGCAAAAATGTCCTAAATCATTTAAAAAATCCTAGACACCTTCAAAAAAGTATTTTTTTGTAACCCAGTGGTATAGGTATTGTGAATTCTTTCGGCCACAATGATTGTAAAGCAAAATCTAGAAAACTACCACCCTCGTTTCTAACCGTGCCTTTCCCAGAAACATAATGTAAATCTGCGTTTGTGAGGGATTTGCATTGATTATTTATGTCAATTTTAAGAGTGCAGTCAGTCGAACACGAGGCTCACCACCAGTGTGTCCATTTTCAAGTTTCTTCAGGGGAAACTGTGTCAATTATTTATTTTGTTAATCATTCATATGCCAACTTATTAGTTAGATTGACAGACATATAAAAGCAACAAACCTACGCCTTCTTGTGATCTGACCTGTTAGAAAGTACTAATAGTCCGTTGAATGGTTTATTCATGGCAGCGGAGATAATCAGTCTCAGCAGACCAAAGGTTCACGCAAACAGCCTAACCTGAAGCTGGAGTAAGGCCAGCGTGTGTGCACAACGGTAGACTTTGCTATTGTCTCCTTTTGTAATTGCTGGATCTTGCTCATTTAAAGAGATTTATCGGAGTTTAAAGTGCTTATGGTTCTTTTTCATCATGATCTAATCTCTTCTAATCCTTTCGAAGCTTGCTATTTCGAATCAAGCCCCACTATCATACCTACAAGTGTTGAGTTCCCTTCTTTCGAGATCGAATGCATTTTTCAAATCAGCCGAATGAAATGTGTTTGAAAGCTTCAATGAAACTGGTTTATGCCAGACGTGGTCTCAGCGGCGCATTATTCCTCCATGTCTGCCTGTAACAATATAGCATCTTGCATTAGGTGTGCCTGCTTGTGGTAATGCTTTACGACACAAAGGCAGAGACATCAGTGTGAAGGGCATCAAGTAGCAGCAACACAAAAGAAATTACATTTAAGGCACTTGAACACACTCTCCCTCCTCAACGCTGATTCCGACGGCTCTGGTTTCCTGTGTGGCATTATTTGCGTGAACATGAATTTGACTAAATTAAAGTTAGGGATTATGTCAGGGATTAAGTTGTTCACCGGATCCTATACTTCTCCTTTTCGTGCATGAGTCTTTCCCCATAAAGGCAGAGTCAGAGACCTGCATATCTCAGTAATTGACCATTTTGTTAGAAATCCAATTCGAAAAAATGCTGGAGCACAACTTTAACGAAGCCGGTGGATTCATTTCTGTCAAATATATTGGACTAGCAAACCTTCAGTTATGATAAAGAACTACCAGAATGCAGAACTGTATATGGTTCCGACTGGCAATAATCATTTATCTCGAAACACCAGCTATGAATCTTTATTCTTGTATTTGTCATATTATCCAACAGGGACGAAGGCAAGAAGCGTCATTTAGCATCTCAAAGCTCAAAGAATAAAACACTCATCACCCCCTGCCTTATCTCCCCACTGACCTCCGTGGTGGCTTCATGCACGACACATGCATCGAGATTCGACAAGGTACTATGTGTAAATAGTCCGGCCTCTAATTAATGAGGCTCGATTCCTCTAGTTTGACACTCATCTGTAAAAACAATTAACACCGGTCCTTTTTAACAAGGCAGAGGACATAAATCAAACGCTAACACAAGAGTGGAGAGTCCTCGCTCGG